CGGAGGAGAGCGGGTGGCAGCAGCCGCTGCAGGGACAGAGCGGGGCTGCCTGCTCCCCTGGCTCCCTGCACCCACCGTGGGGCAATACCCGGCACTCCCATCACCGGGGCCCCTGCACGGATGTTTTTAAGGCATTTTGCCTGCCCCGCAGCAGCGGGTGGTTGCAGGAGCAGCTTTTTCTGCCCTGCCGCTCACAGGCGAAACCGCTGGTTTCGGTTGGCAGCGCTGGGCACGAGGGCGGGAGCGGTGCCACCATAACACCAGGATGTATAAAAACATCGAGCAAATAACCACAGCACCCAGGATGCCAGGGCCTGGCCTAGGTGGCAAGGGGCTGTAGGAATCCCGCTTCACCCTCTTTTCTTTTTTTCTTTTTTTCTTTTTTTTTTTTTTTCCCTTTAAACAAAGGGGAAAAAAAAAGTTCCTTCTTCTTTTTTAAGGCCTTTTAGTTTCTAGAGCAGCCACATGGCACAAAATCCCCTGCGGCTGGAGGAAACTTGCCTGGGTGCAGGGGGCCCCGAGAGCGAGAAAAGCCCCCGCGCGGCAGGAAAGGGGAAGCGGGACGGGAGCCGGCGGCTGCAGCTGCCTGCGGGGAAGCTGCGCTCGCCGCACCGGGACCACGAGGTCCTCGGAAAGACCAAGAAAAGGGGCGGGGCGTGCAAAAGAACAACCCATCCTGCACAAAAATAGAATAAGATGTTAAAAGCCGGAGTTTTGCAGCGTTTTGCAAAGAGAGCTAGCCCCGCTCTAGGAAAAGGGGGAGCTGCACCCAGGAGTGGAGCGGGCACTTTGGTGAGGGCCCGGCAGGTGCTTCTTGTCCCCTTTCACATCTCCCTTTCCAGGAAATTCCTTTCTTCTCCCTCCGCCTGCCTGGGAAATCCCTCCGTGGCGGTCGAGGAGATCCACGGCCCTTTCCTAGGAGCTTGGCCCTGCCCTTCAAGAACTGCACCTGCGTCGCTGCCCTGCTGGCCTAGAAATTTCCCCTGCTGGAAATATATATTTTTTTTCCCTAGGAAACATCCCTTTTATTTCCAGGAATTTTGCCAGTGCACAACAAGGCTGTCTAATAAATTTTATGCTTCCTCACAAGGAAATTATATTTATTTTCTAGGCCATGTTGTGCTGACACTACATGGATTTCGTGCCTTTGGCTTCTAAAGGAATCCCATGAGACTTGACAGGAAATTCTCTCACTCTCAGTAACCAAGAAAAGAGTCCTCCCTTTCCCAATGGGAAAAGAATCATTTTATAGGAAATTTCCCCTTTCATTTACAGCAATCAGCCAAGAACTTACCATTTAGCAATTGCCCCTACTGTTAGGCAGGCCCTACCTTTGCTAGAAAGTCCTAGGGGGGGAAAAAAAAAATCATAGAGCATAGCAGTTACTTTTCAATCAGGAATTACACTTTCTGAGGACTGTGACACCTTCCAATTTTTTTTTTAAATGTTGCGCCCCCTCAGCCCCCCACTCCCCAAAGTTGATGCTTTCTAGGAACGTTTTTCTCCCCTTCAAAAAAGTTCTTAGAAAGCATATTTCTTGGAAAGCAAAATCGCCACCCAGTTATGCTTTCTAGGAATTATGCTTTCTAGGAACCTAACTCCATGCTTTTCTCCTCACCGTTAAAAAAAAATCCTGGAAATCATAATTCCTGGAAAGCAAAATGGCCACTCAAGTATCATTTCTAGCAATTATGCCTTCCAGGAGTCAGGCTTCCCAGGAAATTGATGCCCACTTTCTTTTTCCTAAAAAAAAAATAAAATAAAATTTAGAAAGCATAATTCCTAGAAAGCATAACTGGATGGCCATTTTGCGCTCCAGGAATTATACTGTCTAGGAATTTGACTCCACAATTTGTATTTCCCTAAAAATATATATATTTTTTAATTTAAAAAAAAGACAATTTCTAAAAAGCATAATTCCTAGAAAGGAAAACAACAACAAAACACTATCCTTTATAGGAATTATGCTTTCCAGGAATCGCCCCCATCAAACCCTAGAAAGCATAATTCCTAGAAAGCAAAAGTGCTCGTAATAATACTTTCTAAGGCATTATACTTTCTAGGAAATGAACTCCATGCCCTCACCTCCAAAAAAAAAAAAAAAAAAAAAAAAAAAAAAAAAAAATTCAAAAAAAAAAAAAAATGGCTATGCAATTTTGCTTTCTAGGAATTCTGCTTTATAGGATTTCAGGGGGTCATATTCCTAGAAAGTATAATTCCTGGAAGGCAGACTTCCCTAGAAGACATAATTCCTAGGAAGTAAAATAGCCATCCAATTATCTTTTCTAGCAATTTTTGGAAGAGATGTCAGATTCCTAGAAAGCATAATTCCCAGAAAGCATAATGCCTTAGAAAGCATGAATGCCTGGCAATTATACTTTCTAAGACTCAGCCCCCTCCCCAAATATTAGAAAGCAGAATTCCTAGAAAGCAAAATGGCGATGCATTCTGCTTTCTAGGAATTCTGCTTTATGGGCTTTCACCGGCCATATTCCTAGAAAGCATAATCCCTGGAAAGTTTAATTTGGGTGGATATTATCCTTTCTAGGGATGTATTTTTTCTAGGAATCTGACCCCCTCCCCCCTCAAAAAAAATCCTAGAAAGCATAATTCCTAGAAAGCATAATTTTGTGACCATTTTGCTTTCTAGGAATTATGCTTTCTAGGATTTTTTTTGAGGGGGGAGGGGGTCAGATTCCTAGAAAAATACATCCCTAGAAAGGATAATATCCACCCAAATTAAACTTTCCAGGGATTATGCTTTCTAGGAATATGGCCCGTGAAAGCCCATAAAGCAGAATTCCTAGAAAGCAGAATGCATCGCCATTTTGCTTTCTAGGAATTCTGCTTTCTAATATTTGGGGAGGGGGCTGAGTCTTAGAAAGTATAATTGCCAGGCATTCATGCTTTCTAAGGCATTATGCTTTCTGGGAATTATGCTTTCTAGGAATCTGACATCTCTTCCAAAAATTGCTAGAAAAGATAATTGGATGGCTATTTTACTTCCTAGGAATTATGTCTTCTAGGGAAGTCTGCCTTCCAGGAATTATACTTTCTAGGAA